TGTATTCGCAACGCAGGAAGATGCTCTCCTTATGCAAACCCGGGTTACACTCGACGCACTCCCGACGCTCTAAACAAGGTAGGGCGGCTGTTAAAAATCGAAAAAAAACTGTGTTTGTGGTGGGAATATTCTGTGACAGGAACCCGAAAAATTGTTTCCATATGGCAAAAAATGTTTTTTATTGTGATATAATAATAAAATTTTTTTTTTTTTTTAATATTAAAGGTGAGACCATGCTCTTATCATAATAATAAAATTTAATCACTATTTTAACTCAAATATATAAAAAAAATCTAAATTAAGATTTGGTCTATTTTCTGCTAAATATAATTTAGAACTGCTATTTCGAAAAAAGTTTTTAAGTCAAGAACATAACTTGTCATTATTTTTAGTAGAATATTGGCATTTACAAATGCCAATTAAATCTTTAATATATACCTGCTAGTGCTTGCTAATTCGTTGCAAAAATATAAAGACCTAAATATCAAGAACCAATTGTGCTTGAAATATTTTAGTATTTTGAGATTTTACCATTCCTTGTCGATTGTAATTATCACGTACATCATTGAAAGGGTAAAAATTGTTTTATAACGTGATATCCAATAAAAATCGTGATATTGTGATCTAATCTTTTCAGGATCTACGGACAGTTCTTAAGGACAGTAGGCTCCAAGAACACCCAACTAACCCCAAGAACACTCCGTGTACCAGCCAATCAAATTTCTAGTTTGGCAACATACATATTCTTGGAAAAATTTTCATTTTTAAACTTTAAATGGTAACTTTTCAATAACCATCTATTCAAATTTAATGGTAATTTTAATTCTGTGAGTTAGTAGAATTAAACAAAAAAAATTTTTATAGACCTTGGATTGGTCGTTGTTGAGAAATATTAAAAAAAATTAGCCGCAGCGTCTTTTTATAGGTGCCTAAAATTGAACGAAGTTTACTTGGCGCTTACCTGACCAAATTCGATCAAAATTTTTTATTTTAATTCTATGATAATATAATTATAATAATAATAAAAAATTGATCGAATGTTGTCAGATAAGTGCCAAGTAATCTTTGTTCGCTGTTTAGGCATCTGTAAAAAAGAAGCTGCGGCTAATTTTTGTTAAATTTCTATCAATAGTTCTCAACAACTACCTATTTTATATTCAATAAAACTTTTTTTATTTTAATTTAAGCAAAAAAATTATTATGATATCCTTTTTCTAAAAATTTTTTTAAAAAAAAACTTTAAACGATGATTTCTCAATAACTATTTATCCAAATTTGATGAAATTTTTTATTTTAATACTAAATATGTAGAATTACAATAAAAAAATATATTTAATTTAAATAGGTAATTGTTGGGAAATATTTATTGAAAGTTAAAAAAAAATTAGCCGCAGCTTCTTTTTACAGATGCCTAAATTTTGAACGAGGATTACTTAACACTTACCTGACCAATTCAATCAATTATTTTATTTTATTTTAATTCTATAATATCATAGAATTAAAATAAGAAATCTTGATCGAATTTGGTCAGGCAAAATGCCAAGTAATTCTCGTTCAAAGTTTAGGCATCTATAAAAAAGACGCTGTGAATAACTTTTTTTTAACTTTTTAATCAATATTTCTCAACAACCACCTATTTAAATCCAATAAAATTTTTTATTTTAATTCTACATATTCGTAGAATTAAAATAAAAAATTTCTTCAAATTTGAATAGATGGTTATTGAAAGTTTATTATTATTTATTTAAAAAATAAAAAATTTACCCTTTTCAAGATATTATAGGTTCTTTTTAAACTTCACGCGAAGGTTCCTCGAACCAAATTTAATAACTTTTTTAATTTTATGAAAATATAGAATCAAAATAAAAAAAAATTAATAAATTTGATCATGTAGTTATTTAGAAACCTTCGCCAGAGCAAAAATGGCATTTTAGGACTTTAGGATTTTTAGAATAACTGTTCCGAAATTGTTGCTTTATATTAGTCACATCCGAAAATCAAAAAAATTGAATTTTAATTAATACTGTATTTATTTTTGAAATTTAGAATATATTATAGAAATTTGGCCTATTCTAAAGTAAGCTCAAAATTTTTTAGGACGTCCGAAAATCGGATTTGCTAATTTTCCCCACCAGCTCCTATTGGACGATTGACGAAACAGATTACATCACTGATCAGAGTGGTTAAAAATTTTAAATGATTATTTTTGTTGTTGAATACTGGTTTGTTCTTTTGAATTTAATGCTATTTTTTTTTAATTTCTGAGTAAATAATTTTGTTTAAACGATTAAACAATTTTATCGAATATTGTTTGTATCAATAGTTTTAATTGTTATCAATTATTTTTTGTTTGAAAGAAAAGTAAACTCCCGGTCAAGGAAATGGTTGAAATAGAGTTGGGTATATTTTAAAATTATAAGAAAATTTTGTAAACATAGGTCTTTCAATAAATTTTATTCTTAAAGATAAAGTTCCGGACAAAAAACTTTATAAAAAAATTTCTTGGTTGTACCGAAACACTTATTTTCATTAATAATTTCGATTATTTTTACTAGCAAAAATTTTCTTGGTTATGTTGAAGAATTTATTTTATTAATGTTTTCGATTTTTGATTTTGTTTACTAGCAAAATAATAAATTTCTTGGTTGTGTTGAAGCACTTATTTTCATTAATGTTTTCGATTATTTTCAATTTATTTTTTATTAGCAAAAAAAAAAAAACTCTGAAAGTGCATAAATACATACTTTACAAATAGAAACATTTTGAATTTTTTATTATTTCTTTTTTTTTATTTTTTTTTAAGAATCGATTTGCAACAATGCTCAACTAATCAGGGATGGTAAAATTGGAGGTCATTTGCCTTTTTTCAAATGACCTAGGTCATTTCGGACTAAAATTCATAATAAAATTCATTTGAGGTCATTTGAAGGTCATTTACCATCCCTGGGGAAATTAGGGCGTCCCCGAAAACTAACTTTACCATAATCGCCTATCAAGAAACCCTCGTTCGACTTATTTTCAGATTTACTAATTTATCAATTTAGTCACGATTTACAATAATCAATAAAACGTGATGGCGTTAGATCATAAACCACTACATAAAATAATTATAAATGATAATAAAGCATTACCGATGCTTGTTAATGAAAAAAATTGTCTCCTTCGACACGAACAGAGATTATCAAATCATCAGACCAGCAAAAAAATTTATGAGCCATTCTTTTATTTAAGCATGAAAAAATTTTAATATACTATGTATTTTTTTTTTTTTCTTAAAGAAAAAAAAAAGGAAAACAAGAGAGAACCTAATTTAGTTTCTTTTTTAGAATGGCTCTATGGTAAAGACGTAATATTGATCTTTGCAACCGTTAAAGTTGTACATCTATTTAAAATTTTGCTATAATTTACATCGAAAAAATCTTCATTAATAAACTTTATTATATAGTTTTTCGATTTATATAGTATACCGCACACCCCAATGATTCAAGTTATACATTATATAAATAAATGCTATAAAAAAATATACATGCTTTATAATTTAAACCGTAAAAGTTATATACTTTCGTATATTTACTATACATAATGTATGCCAAAGTATAATCTTAAATATTTAATCTATGATTAACAATACAGATAAAAAAATATTATATAATAATAAATGCTATGAACTTGAGAAACTTGAGTACCATGGTATTAATATATATTTAAAAATATATGTAATGCAACCAAAAAATCTGAAAGCAGATAGCCCAGCAACGGACCAAAGAATTACTGCTATATATATACTTGTTCTTGATCTTTGAGAAAAATTTTGTTCTAAAGTTGTACCAACAAAAGCGATTACATAAAATATTAATAAAGCATTAGAAAAAAGCCAAAAAAGCACAAAACATGCTCGAAACACTTTTCGAGATTCTTCGATCATTTTTCTATCATTATATTTATTTCTTTGATGAATATTCGTATTTGCTTGCCCTGTATCCTGCTGTTCATTCTTATTTTTTGGCTGAGAAAAAGGGACTTGATAAATTTCTCCTTCATCAGATATAACAATTTTATCTAATTGATGAACTTCATCAGTCTCCCTATTCCCCCAACTATAATAAAAATATGAGTTAATAATTAAAATAAAATAATAACAAAAATTTTATATCATATTTACCTCACATCATTAACATTACAAAATGCATAAACATTTAGAACATTTACATAAAATGGAATAAGAAAAATATATTGTATGATACATAATATCATATGCAAGAAATCACGCATTATAATACTTGCAACAAAATACATAACAAATGTTGAAAGTAAAGGAAGAACTATATCCCAAAAAATATCATTATAAAAAATAGCTATAGATCCATGGTTTTTGATGTTTGGTATTATTTCATATATGAAGCCGTTAACTGTAAGCCAAGAGCCAGCAAAAAAAGTATAACCCATTATAATAGCAAAACATAATAACGAAATGTAGTAGACCCATTTAGAACTAATAATTTAAAAAATAAAAAATTAATTTTAAGCATGAAAATATTATATTAGGGCATTAATTTATTCATATCTACCTTTGAGGTTTATTACTCATAGAAAAGATAAACTGCCCAGTAACTAATATAAAATAAACCCATCTTAATATAATAAATATAGTTTCACCAATTGACGGATCCCAAGGAAGAGGAATAAGGTCTTGAGGATTCGCAAGTGTATTACATAAAATATGAAATGTTAAATAAAAATTTCCCTAGAAAATAAAATGTATTAATAAATGCTTACAATTAAATTAAATTGTTAATAAATAAATCCGAAATTCTGAAATTTACCAATGCAAACCATGAAAATAAAAGGTTAAATGCTTGGTATATAATTTGAATGATAAAAAAGATTTTACGTGCACGTGAATGATTACTCTTCCAAATATTATTAAAATGAAAAACAGCATAAATACTAGCAAAGAAAGACCCATTTAACCAACGTCTACGTTGTGAGATAAATCCAGATATTTCTTCAGGTACATCTGTTTCCGCCTGAGATGATTTATTATAATACAATAACCAGTCTCTATCACGCTTTGTAAACAACTCAAAACAAAGTATACGATCTTCAGCAAGATACATATTAGCGGCAAATACACTTTTAATGTTTCTATAAGTATTTTTAATGAAACTAAATGAGCCATTAGCAATAGGTTTGCTATCATATGCCTCATCCTTGAAATAAGAAGCCAGAGGGCTTTCATAATCATCTGTATTCACAAGAGCATCATAACGATATGCTGAAAAAGCCCCAGGCAAGACAGTAATGTATCCAAGTACATGTTCGAGTGGTTTATCTAGAATATTAGATATTTTATATTCGAAATTCTGAGCGCTCACAATCGGATTTAGCAACTTGTACCAACCACGACCTTTCATGGCAACTATTTCACCACAGGCACCTGCAACTTTTGGATGTAACTCAAATGTTTCCCACAAGTTATAAATAGCATTTGATCCTTTTAAGAAATTTAACAAATATATATATTTTCGAGCAGAAATTAGAACTTAATGTACAGTTTATATGATGGATTAAATGATCAATAATAATACATGCATGTGAGTATCTAACCTGGTTTGGTGCCAACGTCAATAAGAACGCATATTTTAGGTTCGAGTATTGGGCTGAATGCATTAAAAATCCAACGATGAGAATTGATTTTCTTAGTATTCTTTTCTTTAAGACAAAAAAGTATCTGGATTGGAACAATGATATCACTGTTTTCTAGTGGAATACGAGTTGTATATTCGAAAATATGAGCTTCAACTTTACGATCAATTATACTTTCGACTGCTATTCCTTCTTGATAAACGCCAAGAGCGGACAAATATTCTAAAGCACTTTGGCTTATCTTTTTACGACCATCGGAAACTATGCACACGACGACCTTTTTCCATCCTTCATTTTTAATCTTTTTTAAGTCGAAGATATTAATGATCAGATTTTAAATTAAATATCTCGTTAAAAAAAATAGCCAGAATATATATATACCCAAGTCCCGTCTTCTCGAGAACAAAGGGAATTAATATTTTTCGCGATCCCACAAAGAGTCCGAGACAATTGAGTTTTATCTTCCTATTGAAAACATTATCGGTAGTCAATAATGATAATGTACCGAAAAATTAAAACTATATCATTTCAATATGTTATATATTCTTACATCGTACATAGTCACCGCAATAAGTATTTCTATTCTTCTCCTGTTAAATTCTTTTTGACGAAGACTAAAGGAATCACTCTTAAAATTATCTGGCTTGCTTGTGCAGGCAGTATATCTCATATGTGTTAATTCTCTAAATCCATCCACACGAAATTTATTGTCAAAATTTAACAGTTCAATTACAGGACAGTCTTTAACAAACTTTCCATCATTCGTCAATTTAGTCTTTTGTAACCATTTACTAATACCTCGAAATATGGAACCATCTGACCATCTGGATGAAGGTTCTCCCCTCCTTTGATCGCTCGACATAAAGACAATGATGAAAATAGGCAAAGTTGTACAATTATCTGTAAAAAAATTTTCCTACAAAAAGATCCTTATTAAATGAATTTACTGGAGCTATAAATGCCTCGACCAGTCCTTTTTATGTTTCAATAAAGTATATTTACATGTATCTAATTTTTTTTATAAGACCTTCATTGGATGTAGTTTTGACAATTTTCGGGTCTAAATTATTTTGTGAATATTTAACGATTTTAGATAGTTTTTAATATAAAGCCGACCAGACCATAATTATTTGTTTAAATTTAAAATTCTTTTGAACTATTATGATACAATGATTACTATTACGGGTTAAATTCCGATTTAAATTATGTGCATTTTGGTCAATTTATATATGCAAAGAATCCCGCAGAAGCTTTTATACTAAATCTTAAATCTCAGAAATCAGAAAGAATCAAATAAATATGGTACTTCATTAAACGATTCAAGTGAAAATTTTTAATACTGTATTCTAACAAAGTTTGATCAAATGCTTTAATATTAGTAAGCAGCGATTCTATAGTTAAATATTCAGTCAAAGGTTTTAATAAAGTTATATATAGCTACTTCAGCTACAAATATCACTTTCATTAGTGTACGGGTTATTCCGCAAAACTTCTGGAGTCAAAAATCATAAATGGTCATATAGAAAATCCCCTTTGATAGTGTAACCGTTGAAAGGAAATGCGGTTTCACTTGGGGCATAGACATTCGTAAATTCGGATCAACCAATAGTGTATGGTGTAAAGGAGGGGTTGATGATTCTCATAAATATCCATGTGTTCAAATACGTAAGTAGAATACGGGTATAGGGAGTAAAAATATAATTTAAGGGGAGAATGATCACTTTAAGTTATTAGGGGTGCAGGAGTTCGTTTAACATATCAGAGAAGGCTGATCATTTGACGTCAGAAAATTTTCAGGGTAATGATTTAATTAAGGGATCTACAAGTTGCAGCACATATAAAATTTATAGGTTTTGTAAAAAAAGACAACTTCTAAGCTAACATTTATATCTTACAAATTTTTGTTATTTCATATTTATATACTATCTATATTTTTTTCCCTTTACGTCAAAAACAAGTATCTTATTTTTAAAATGGCGTTTTGATACTGTTGAAAAAGTGTAGCTTGAACGTTGAAAGCTAAAATCTACTAAATCTAAACACTACAATCTCTAATTTACAATCCG